CTCATCATCATGCACCACAAGGGTGGGGGGGGGGGGGTTGTAGGGTGAGTAGGCGACTGCTTGCCAGTCTTTATTCTGCCAATGTAGCTCTGTACATAGATCGATGCCAGGAGACTCAGGAATGTCAGCCTTGGATTAATGGCTTTGCGTTGTGGTTCCCTGTAGAGAATGTCTAGCCTCTCGCTTTGCCACCTTTCCCAGAGAGTACTGCACAGCCTCTAAATTCACTGTGGGGTTAACCCCTCTCCTATAACAGATGTTTCGACCGACGAGTACTGTGGGGTAGAATGGAGAAAGATACGGTCGCCTACAGCTGTGTGGATTTACTCATCTTTTTCTGACCCGATTTCTATGATGTGCACGTACAAGTTGCCTTTGTAATTTCCTACGAAGGCTGAAAATAATTAATTCCCTCTGTGACTGTCTGTGATACAGAAGCAGTTTCCCTTATTTGGTACTGTTTGCTTGTGAAACGCTTGTTCCTGTTCAATGAATCGAGTCAGGGGGAAGAGAGGGGGTGGGGTGGGGAAATATGCACACAACATGCCAAGCACAACAGAAAGGGACCGCAGAGAAGGCATCTCGCCGCCGTGTTCAATTTGAACGGCTAACAAAAATGACAATGAAGAGAAAAAGGAGGGGGGAGAATGATAGGTATTTACGTGAAGTTCTTTTCCCTCAGAGCAAGAGGCAGGACAACAACAAATTGCATTTGTATAGCGCCTTTCACGTCATCAGGACACCCAGCCAATTTGTAGTAAAGATTATCAGTTTGAAGCAAACAATTTCACCGCTTAAACTGGCTGCTCCGGTTTCGTGAGCACGACTCCCACACGCCAATTTCGAGGGAGGTGGCGTTTCTGCCTGACTGATTAGATGAACTGGGGTGGAGGGAGAGAGCGAGGGAGGGAGCTGAGTTGTAAAATTAGTCAGACTTTTGGACACGTTGCACAAAACAAAACTGTTAACCCCACACTGAACTGACCTTGGCTTAACGTCTTATCCAATGTGCATTTATTTAGCAGCATTGATATAAAATAACATATTAAGGCCTTCAGCAGTGGCAGAGGTTCGCAAAGAGGGAGTAACGGGGGGAATTTAGAGGTGATATGGTTGACGTACGTTTGGGACAGCAGGAGTAATTGTTTAGGATTTTTGAAAGTGAAGAGAGAGGTAGGAAGGCACAATGGTTGGAGGAGAGTGTCAGAGGGCCTTCATGCTCAGAATGTAGACAGAGTGAAGAGCGAGTGAGCAGTGAAGAAGACTCAGCAGGAAGAATGGGCAGGGATGAAGGCAGAATGAAGACCTGCAGCTACGTGAAGCTGGATTAGTGTGCAGCCTGGATCAGCACCATCATGAACATTACCCCTGGAACCCGGTCCATTTAAAACCAGCACCAATTCAGCTCGCATTGTTCCAGTGATAGTGGAGCCCCATTACTTATACCTCAATTGTAGTGGGTGGTGGAGGGGGGTCCATAAAATCTCAAATAATGTTATCATGGGGTACGTTTGCTTCTGCATTCAACGTGAATGTTTGCAGACAGACAGCCTAGGAAGCCAAATAGATGAAGTCTAATGGTAACTTGGTGGCTTGGAAGAGCCTATCATGCTCCAAGACAGCATTTTGAAGCTTTAACTGAGTTGGCTAGCCCTCGCGTTTTATTGGGAAATCAAATGTCGGGGTCCACACCAATGTAGGCAAATCTGTGCTATAACCAACCCGTTATAACAGGGTTACTCTGGATTTATTGTCTGGCAATGACCAGTCGAGAACTCCAAATACAGGTGTTCAATGAGGCAGCTTGCTATCAATATTCGATTCATTCTGTTCATCATTGTAAAAATCCAATTTGCCTGAACAGTTCAGACAAGTGAATGTTTCAGATAAGTGATCACATATTAATTCTGGTGCTAAAGCGTATTAAATGGAGTTAATTCAGTGTGGAATCATGATGAAATATTTATATACGGAGTCACAGCAAATGTGATAAGCGGTTTGGATATGCAGCGTTCAGATTAAGAATAAAGAAGGAGGATGGAATTTTTCTGTTTTGCCCGCAAAGAAAAATCTGACAGCACCATAGAGTGATGATCAAGGCCTGAGAATGACTTGTGATTTATCTGCCTCCAATCTGATATCCTCTTTCTTGTAATCCTTGCATTCTTTGTTATAGCGCCTTATCATGTCTACGAGACATCTCAAAGCACTTCACAGAATATACTGTGAAGTGAATTGACTGTATATTTTGGGCGAAGCAGCCAATTCCGTACAGCAGTGTCCTACAAACTGTCGTGGATTGAGTGACCAATTTATTATTTTTTTTCAAGGAATTATTACCCCTGGAAAAACGATCCGCCAATCGACTAACAACTGGGTTCCTACTCACTGCTAGGTAAACAGAATAATAATAATAATAATAATAATCCTTGCATTTGATATAGCGCTTTTCACGTCAGGCGGACGTCCCAAAGCGCTTCACAGAACACACTGTAAAGTGAATTGACTGTACATTTGTGGGCGAACGCGGCAGCCAATTGCGCACAGCAATGTCCCACAAACAGTCGTAGATTGAAAATGACCAATTTAATTATTGTTTTTGGTTTTTTGGAGGGATTATTATTAGGCGTGTGGAGTAAGGAAACTTGCCCAAGGTTTCGCCCTGCCTGGAATTGAACTCAGGTCTCTCACTTGCAAAGCGAGTGCTCTAACCACTGAGCTACAGGACTCCACTGTAGACACAAAGTCCAGACTTAGTGCACAATGCGGTGTGTATATCACAGGTTGGTTCTTCTGAATCCAGTGTTTGACTGTTTTGTGATATCAACCTCCGGTATGTTTATTATCAGGAAAACACTAGGACTAGAGAGAGAGTCTCAGCCTCTATCCAGGGGATCACATTCACTAATGGACACTGCCCATCTCTTTACCCTACCTAAGCTTCTCATCTCAAAAGGATCTCCCTTCTGTTCAGAGGGGAGGTGAAGAGGTGACTCCTTCCTTGTTAATTTCCATTGATCTACTGCCCTGTTCTCAGATAATAATGGTAGCTGGTTGTCTTTTATACTGTATATCATCCTGTAATGGAGTCTAGGTTTTCTAAAAAAAAAATGAATGGAAGAAATGACTTCAAAATTAAGTAAGAATTTTCCAAATTCTGGATGCTCCAAAATGCCTTGTGAATAGAATAAATGTAGACTCAGGTGGAATTTCTCTTGATAATATGTCTTAAAATTGGTTCAACTGGTCAATGTGCATCACCAATGCCCTTGCCAGGACCTGAATGCTTTAAAAATAAAAATAATAAGCGTTTCCTTATTGCTGACACGTAAGCCACACAATTAACTAGAACTATAGTGGTGACTTGAAGTCAAGTGAGCATTGCAGAGAAATCATCTTAGGTTTAAAATGATCAACAAAGTCTCTGTGAAGCTCCAGTGGGCACTTGGTGTCACTTTTTTCTATTATGAGTTTGAATCATTTTATGTCTTTTCTGAGCTTTGTGCGGTAAGTTGCAATTAAAAACCCAAGGAGTTTACAAGCTCCGAAATGAATGAAGGAATCTTTCAGAGGGCAACTGTAATCATTAATGGAAAAAAACAGTTTTGAGGCTTGATTACAACACTGGTGTGCAGTAAATAACTAGAAACTGAATTGGGTATAAAGTGTCAAAGCTCAGTTCACTCAGATAGGAGGGGTCAAAGTAACAGTACGAACTGCAACAGAAAGAGAATCTGACTAGATTTGGTCTATTAAAGATCCTACATGATTGCAAATACTCCACATATATTCAAGAAATTTCTGTGAATAAATATTTTGTGCGTGAAGTGGCTGACAGAGAGTCCTGTTTATTAACGACTGAGATTATGGTGCATGGATCGAGTCCGCTGTGTTTTTTTTTGTACATTGTTCGAGTCAGTTTTAAGAGCCGCACTTATGTGAATAATAATAATAATAATCCTTGCATTCGATATAGATCCTTATCACATGGTTGAGACGTCAATTGCCCACAGCAGTGTCCCACAAACAGTCATGGATTGAGTGACCAAATTCTTCTTATTGATTTTTGAAGGGATTATTACCTCCCCCCCACCCCCACCTCCCCACACACCTCCCCCTATTGACTAATAACCGGGTTCCTACTTACTACTAAGTAAACAGAGCCGTGTGGAGTAAGGAAACTTTCCTAAGGTTTTGCCCTGTCTGGGAATCGAACCTGGGTCCTCTCGCTTGCGAGGCGAGTGCTCTAACCAATAAATCTACAGGAATCCACAATGCATGTTTGTTTCTCGTATATCTTTTCCTCCACCCTCAAGCTTCTTCCCTTCTCTCCCGAAGACTTTAAGTTACATTGGGATACACCTCCATGGTATTGACAGCTTGGTTACTCAATCCTAGGGGCCATTCTTCAGGAGTCAGCCTAGACAATGAGCGTCCAGAAGCATTTTTTAATCAGGAGAGGAAGGATGCAAATCAGATGCAAATCTAACCCTCACATCTGAGCACACTAGAATGTAATCAGCAACGCGAGCTGTCACTAATTTATAAAGTAATTATTTTTGTTTTGCTCAGCATTCCAGGGACGCTAATAATAATAATAATTACTTTCTGTACTACGCTGGCTCAGTATAGACAGGGGTTCAAATAAGAACTGTAGTCATCAAATCAGAGACAACTGTGATCGGATAGCATCTTAAGTGCAAGTCTTATCAGTTTTGCTAGAAAAACAAAGCTCCAAGAATGTCAACCAAGACTCCGCAGCAAACCATTGCGAACCACTCACAGAAATATTCTTCCATATTTTATGATCAGTATCAAATGGATTGGCTGCTCAACACACCATCAATGGCCCAACAGCTGTATGCTGAGATTGTAATTATGTTCCACGGTACAGGTTACAGTGTCCAAGTGATGGATGAGAACCCAGTTACAATAAATTAGGTTGATAGGTCCTTGCCGGAGGACGTGAAGTCATATTTTTATTTGAACCCCTGCACAAAGTCCTACAGTTTAACTCTACATGTTGTTCACGTTGTTCAACGTTGGTAAAGAAATACAGCTGGAATTCGCATGATCTACCTAGTCACCGATGTTAAAATTCCCACAGTGTCGAACTGTCCACATCAACTGCGTCTGGTTTGAGTACACCTGCCTGGTCGCTTCGCAGGTACTTTTCATTCTTTGCTTTGATGGCCATTCGACCGTGATCTCGGAATTCAAAGTAAAAATCTTCGGGCATGTCGCCGTCAGTACAGACTGTCCCATTGCTGGATATGTACCAGAATTTTCCATTGGAGCCTACCAACAAAGAGTATGTATTTTAACAATGGTTTGATCAATGACCCAGCTGTTCATTCAGGAATCCAAGTCAAAAGGCTAACACAGGCATAGTCATATCCTCATGTTATCATCAGGTTCATTCAGAGCATCCATCACTACTCATCAGTAATTCTCTTTGTGTTTATTAGCACATTGAGAAAGGAAGAAGTGCATTTTAACTGCACCTTACTACACTGAAAATTCTTAAAGTAAAGCCACAGTAATTTATGTCAAGGGCAATGCCTGTTGTTCTGGGTGAACACAGCAGCCATCTTGCACACAGCAAGTCATGAGGTAAATGACCAGTTAATCTGGAGGATTGTTGGTCAGGACACCAGGAGAAACTCCGTTCTCTTTTCGAATAATGTCACAGGGTCCTTAACTCTCACCTGAAGAACAAGCAGAGAGAACCTCTTCTGAAGGACGGCAACTCCATCTATCCATTTTATAGCTTTACCTTTATTTTCATTCTTATCCCATTAGTGGAATAGTTCTATGTAATTTACTGTCACTCTAAGTGCAAGTCCTCACCTTTAATGTGGTAGCCCCCATTGTCAAAGATGAGTTGAAAGACATCGTAAACTGACCGATTGGCATCCAGTGTGTTGGAACTTTTATGGTAGCAGACAAACCCATGGCTTCCTCGTAATACCAAGATTGGCCTATTAATCAGTCTCAGTACAAACTCCTCATCTTCACCTAATTCAACAGAAAAGATTGAGTCATGACTTTGGTTTAGATTCAGTCTAGATCCTAGATCCTCAGTCTAAATGCACATTATCAATCAAGGTGATGTATCAAATAAATAATAATAATAATCCTTGCATTTGATATAGCGCTTTATCATATCATCACATCACCAAAACTTCTCAAAGTGTTTCACACGAATTTAACTCTAAAATGTTGTTTTTACACATCTTTCCAAATTAAGACCAAGTTAAAGAATTGTCCTCAAATTTTGTGCCATCTTAAATTTTAAGGCAAAGTGGCCCTCCGTGCTAAGATCAGGTGGAATTGGGGCCTAGTGAGTAAGAAGCACTTTTTTGTTCAAGAAAGCAGTGTACTCTCCTTGAATGAAAATTCTGCTATGTTAAGGGTGAGGTGCAGAACTGATCTGCAGCAACTACTTAAAACCAAGGCAAAAAATCTACACCTGCACTTTGACCGTGTAGACTTTGTCACTGCAGTCAGTCTCACCTGGTGAATCACTCACTGATGCAAGCTGTCCGTTTTTCTTCGTGTAAATGTATTTGCCATTGTTAGCCTTGAGTGCTACTCGTCGTCCACGCCATTCTATTTCAAACATACTGTTGGCATCTCTGGATCAGAAAGAAACAAAAGCTTCTGTTAAAAAAGGTGATGGTATTCTCAACCTACAATGAACGCTTATCGGAGATCCCGAAATTCCACCTAGCCTTAGCCTGTAAGATATTTGTTGGTTTAAAATTATACTTGAAAGTCTGCTACTCGCAATTTAAGAATAGTGGAAAATTCTTAAATTCAGCCTTAATTTGAAAGGCCATCTCTTTTTCAGGATTGTGGAAAAAAATGTCTCACAAAGCTAAGACTCGGTGAAATTGCAGACCTCAGATGCTATGGCTATAGTTGGTGGATAGGTTGCCAGTCTGGAGAGCCGCCTGCTTTAAATCTTTCTTACTCCACCTTGCCCTCTCCTTCCCCATCTTCAGGTTGCGTCCGAAGACCTTCCTCTTCGACCGTGCGTATGGTCACCTCCCCCCTCTCCCCGGCTCAGCAGTGTGCTTTGCCACTGTCGAGCGCTCTGGAACACTACGCTGCGTGAAGAGTGCTATATACGTGCAAGTTGTTGTTGTTGTTCTTACACTTCAGTGGCTGTGGACTGGATTCCCCCATGGGCTACCAAGGTCCAAAACTTTCCAGTGTGTGTACGGAAGATGCATTTTTTAGTTTCTTTGTCAATTTCCATCTGGTATGTTTCATGATGCGTCACCTCGTCCTGATTAGCTGAGATATCCATACCTGATAAAAACAAAGAGAATTCTTTGGGATCGAAAAAAAAACTATTGGTAGCCAATGAGAAAATGGCAGACATTTATTTTATTGAGAAAATATTGATCCTCCCTTATAACATCTTTGCCATTTTACCTGGCATTGAACTGTATCAGGAAAGACTTGAAAACGCATTCAGTTCCTGACACTTAAAGATCATGAACTTGATGACACCTTCTCAACACACTTTGTCACCCAGTGTTACAAGGGAGGAAGTGAAAGTGTTAGAGCTGGTGGGTTTTATATGAAAAGAAATTCAAGGGTGTTTTTCTCTTCTATCAGAAAGTCTTCAGCAGGTTAAGTAGGGTCATTGTGAGAAGTTTGTAAGGTAATTGCTCTTAATCCTTGCAATAAGGCTATTAGTAGGAAACAGTCCCATTCTTGGACTCTTGCGCACAAATGCTCTAGCCTCATAATCTTCAGGCAAATGTGATGTGCATTGCAATATTATAATCATCTTTGTCACGCGAACAGATTGACTGCCTTCTTATATTAGATGCAATCAAAATAGCTTCCTGTAAATCAGTGGATCATTGGAAAGCCTTTTAGAATGGAAATCTGCCTAATAGTCAGTCCAATTAACCTGAATGCTGCTTTCCCCATCTGTCACAGATCTGGAAGATCCATTGGGCATTTTGGATGCAAACAGAATAGAATCAACCTGTACAGACAGGACATTAATTGTACCTAGTGAATGGAGAGACACCAGGATGTGTGGTGTAAACCTATAACATACACTGATGCTCAAATCAATTAATTATTCTCCTTCCCCCACTACAGACTCGAGGTGTTTTCTCGTGGATATCGGAGATCTCATAAACACCCTCCAAAAAGAGAAGAGAGTTTCTCCTCGTGTTCTAGCCAACAACCCTTTGGGTTAATTGGTCATACACCCAATAACTTGTAGGGCATCGCTGGCACATGTGGCTACCTTGTTTGCCCATACAAAAAGTCGCCTCTGCACAGAAATGTCCCAACCCCACACAACTGTTTGAATAACTGCAACAACAACAACAAAATTAGATTTGTATAGCGCCTTTCAGGTCGGGAGCACGTCCTAAGGCACTAACAGAGGCCACACAACATGCAAAATCATACACTCCTGAGCTCAGTACCAACCCCGCCACGCCCACCCTCATGGCTGTTTGTGGGACAACGATGTTTACAAATTAGCTGTTGTATTTGCCTACAAATTGACACTGATTCACTTTACAGTAAATCCTATGTAGTGCTTTGTAACGTTTCAACGATGAGGTAAGGCACCATATCAAATGCAAGGATTGTTCTTATTATTTAAGCAAAGGGATCACAGTGAAGGATGGGCAAATGCTCTCTCTCTCTCTCTGAGAGAGATTGAACCCATCGTTCCTTGCTGAGATGATTATAATACATAATACATCAATATAATGCATCATAAGCCCATCAGTGCATGTATCCGTTTGTCATCAGCAACAAATTACTTTGTACAGTGCCTTTCATGTCGGGAGGATCTCTCAGGGCACTGAAATATATCCTCTAATTTAAATTTCTTTACCTAACTAACCTGTTTTACTTTCCAACTCAAAACCCTTGCTCAGCGGGCTTGTACACAATTTTATAAAATTTGACTGGTAAAAGAAAAATCAAATCTCAGACTTGTCAAGTGGTACAGGCACAAGGGATGTGACATGAATGGACTCTTTGGTGGGGAGGGGAGGAGCCAGGAAGGAGATTAAACCAGCATATATTGACATGTGCAGGAGGTTGAAAGTAATGGCACAGCATAACTTATAAGTGGACCTTTGCGTTCTTGCTAAAACCAACAGAAACCTTCTTTGCCCATTCAGCTTCTGAGCGGTATCTACTAACTGATTAGGGCCTGGGCTCGAGCTACTCCAGTAACCGATTGTGTCTCTTTCCCAACCCCCCACAACCCTGCTATATGTATCTACTCTTTCCTCTCAGTCTTTCAGAATTCCTTCCTTTACACAGTAGCTGCTGCCCCAAGGCTGGGTACTGAGAGAACTCATGTCACAAGTGCCATGTATTTTTCCGTGTATTCCATGAATTCAGCAATTTGCAATCACAGTTCCAAAGTCTCTAAATAGCAGAAGTGAATGTCCTTGAGAATGGGGACAGTGACCTTGACATTTGCTTCACGAGTTGCAACAGTACTTACTTTTGTAACCTTCGAGACCAAGGATCGGGGTTGGAATGAGTTATAAAACCAGAGGGGTAAAATTCAACCTAGATCTGGATTTGTTCTATTAACGCTGGAATTCACAGCATCCAAGAATTAGGCAGATTCTTAATCAGAACCTTACTTTAATTTTGAAGCTGGTCTTCTATACGTTTCTTTTAAGAACTACAGAAAAAAACACGACATGGAAGTTAAAACTGAATTCAACAGTTTCTCAAACTCAGGATGCTGTTCCTTATCATTATCCAGCAAGACTTTGAAGGAAACTATGAGTATGTGGTGTTTGTGTGTGCGTGTGTGTGTGTGGAGGCATCACATTCTGGTTTGGCTGTGTCATCGACCAACTTACCAACACTCGCTGACTAAGCTTATACACGAAGAATGGCCACAGACAGTTTATTACCTAACGGTTCTGGACAACCCCAAAGTTTCCTGATGTAGAGAACAGTTGTCAAAATCAGGTCGCACCCAGAATGATAGCGTTCAATTCCAGGCAGAGGGCGAAACCTTGGACAAGTTTCCTTACTCCACACGCCTAATAATAATCCCTCCAAAAAACAAAACAATAATAAATTGGTCATTTTCTATCCATGACTGTTTGTGGGACACTGCTGTGCGCAATTGGTTGCTGCGTTTGCCCACAAATATACAGTTAATTCACTTTACAGTATATTCTGGGACGTCTAGAAGACGTGAAAAGCGCTATGTCAAATGCAAGGATTATTATTATTATTATTTATTAAGAACAGTCTCTCCCTTCCCCCCAGCTTATTTGTAGTGCAAAGGAATCCACCCAATCTTATGCTTCTGAAAGTTTAAATCAGCATCCTCAGCTTCAGTAGAGGGGGAAAAGGGAGAGTGGCCTTGACAACTCATCGAGGAGTCTGCAACCTACTTGTGGCAAGATGCTTTATACTGACTGTCACTTGAATGTTTAAACTACACAAAATATATATATTTAAAATAAATACAGCGTTTGACCTTTTCCATAAGACATTATCGTTTGTCAAAATCATTGCAGCTGAATTTTCCGGTGAGGAACCGTTCCGTTCTGCATTAGCTCTTCCTAACACTAACTGTAAGAACAGCACTTGGTACAGTCCAGTCACGTTTCTAAATCCCAGGGAATTCCATCAAAAGCCCTGAAACATCTGACTTCCCAGCAGGACTTTGGTCCTCGGATTCAATGCCTGAGCATTAATTTAATGCTTTCCATACTCCGTAACAACACAGACTTGACAGAGAAAGGAGTGAGGAGTTCCAGACATATGACACCTGGTCTTTCCATTAACTTACAATCACAGCGCAAGGCATCACTGGCGTTTCCACTGACACGCCAAAATCAGTTACATTTAGCAATGAACTTTCTACTTAAGCGATCCAAGACACTGTCCAGCGTAAAGGGCGCTATATAAATGCAAGTTGTTGTTGCCGTTGTTGCTGTTGTTGTGTTGCTGCTGCTGCTGCTGTTGTTGTTGTTGTTGCCTGCATATAAACACTGGAAAAAGCAATAATGGAACTAGATCGGATCACAAGTCAGCTTGCGTTACAGAAAGTCTCACGTAGCCCTCATCTTTTATTCAGATTAAAATTACAAAAGGCCACAAAACACTGCAGAATCGGGAGAGGTGAAGAAATATGGGTATTGAGAGACTCAACTGACTTTCCATAGGAAGTGTCAGAGTGGACTCAATTATAATCAAGTGAGATAAATGAAACCAGATATTCTCACCATAACTGGGGGGAGGGAGACAGTGATTGAACTCCAGTCAACTGAGTGAAGTTCCTTCAGGCCTTCAATGCCGGTTTATTATTAAGCTTTTCATGGTGAATTTGCCACGGAAACGCTGTATAAATTAGGGACAAGCAACGCGATCTGAAAGCAAATTACGCCAGAGTGTCAGGGGCTTTTTAGTATCTTAAAGACATTAACATGCGGTATAATAGATCTATGCAAATGCTCAGTTATCTCAGCACCTGACCAATGCGACAACAGGTATAAATTGAGATACCCTCTCCTAATCGCTTTACTGTTGGTCTATTTTAATCTGTCGAAACCCTGTATCATTTTGCTTCCAGCAGTACAACAGGACATGTTACAATAGTGTAAGGTGTGTGGATACCAGCAGTTTTGTTAAATTAAACTGTGTAGAGAGTACAGGAGGAGAAAACTAGACCATCACAAGCTAAGCCAAGGAACGATTTCTTTGGATCAACCTGGTCAGCGCGCAGTTAATGCACCTCAAAAGGTTTCCTCCAGAATAGAGCTTTACACATTCCTTGTATGAAAACATATATAGAGGGTTATAGTGTTGGAAGCAATAACCAGATACAAGTAAGAGTCATTATTTTCTTTCATAGGGGGAGGGGGAATATCACAAATAAAAAGGAAAATTACTCATATGAAGAAAACCCTTTGGCCCATTTGATTTCATCCTCTTAGAATACCCACCCTACCATTTTCCCAACACAGCATCAAGCTGTTTTTTTTAAATGAGTCCCAGCATTCTGGCTTCAACCAAGATATGGGAACCAATTCCAATGTCCTTTCACATTATCTGAGGACCATTATGGAAGAGATTGTACCAGTGTGCACTGCGGAGATCACCCACGTATATAGTAGAGGTAGTTTTGTGATTAACAGAGAAAAACAATGAGTTTGGTGGATTTTTTTCCATTACAAGTAAGCTGGAGATTGCTTTCATTAACTGCTATCATTCTCGCTGTGACCTAATTCTGAAAACTGTTCTCCACTTCAAGAAACCTTGGGCCTGCTGGGAACCATCCGATAAGGAGTTAACAATGAGACGGTTGAAAGTATTCCTTTCAGGAAAATTGCAAAATAGTTTCAGATTTCATTTGTTAAAAATACCATGGAACACGATGGCAGAATAACAATGGCAAAAAAAGTCAGTACTGTAATCATTTCTAGGAAACGTTTGCAAAATCTCACTGCAGGATCCAACTGTGCATTTTTATAACAGTGTGATATTACTGCTGCTTCGAGACAAAGCTCCACAGAGAAATGGCAGATTCCTAGGAATATACTAACAGGAGGAAGCCATTAAGCCTGTCATGCCTGCTCCATAATTTTATTATGTAATGGCAGATCTTTTAATCCAATGTCCCTTCCTTTTCTTCATCTCACTTTATTACGTCCTGGGTATTGATCTATCTCCCTTTTAAGCATCACAACCAATTCTGCACTTACGGTCTGCTGGAAAGAAGCGTTCAATATTTTCACAATCCTCTCTGTGAAGAAGTGATCTTCCTTCTATCCATCTTAGCTCAAAGCTTAAGGTTATGTCCCCGGGTTTTGGGTCTCTCTACCTCAAAGAAGAATCACCCCCCAACCTAGTTCTCATTCCTATTTTAAAGCCATTACTCATTTCAGTCCCATTGATTGTGTGTGCCATTCTGACTCACATTTACAATGAGCAGTCACAAGCCAACAGCACCTCAGGGTGCAACATATTGCCACGGGGGATGGGATTTGTTACTTATGTAACATCAAAGCGAGCAGTGTATTACTATAAAGTTGCTCCAGAGTTGAATCATGGCAACAATTACGAGGAACACAAATGGAAAGCGAAGAATTCTTTTTACAAAAGTCTACTAGGAATTGGAATGTGTTTGCCTCAGTATTTATTGAGGCCAATTACAGTTGCTCATCAAGAGTATAGGAAAATGCGGGGAAATGGGATTAGAATAGATGGCTCCTGTGGGGAGCCAGCACTGAACAGGCTGAATGGCCTCCTTCAGTGCTGAAATCTCTGGTTCTATTTTCATTCCAAATTCAAGGCTTACTTTCCATTTATAAGATGACTTGATGAAGGAAACCCAGCTAGGGCCGAGAAAAAAAATCATTTGAACCTATTGATATTTTGCCTCGAGTCAGTCATTAGTTTCATAGATGGTAAAAATGGTGGCATGTCTGTATATCTCATTATTTTATTCACAATCTTTACTTCTTCACATGAAGACCCTCAATAATATTAAAGGGAAAATTCTAATCTGAATTAAGCCTTTTACATAGAATTACACAGAACATTACAGGATAGAAACAGACCAGTTGACCCAACTACTTACTGTTCGTTCTCCATATGAGTCTCCATCTTCACCGGCTTCCCACCCACCCCCAATACCCCTCCCTCTGTTCCTTTCTCTTTCATGTCTGCATCAAGTTGCCTTTTAAACACATTGTTATTTCTGTTTCAACCACAGCTTCCGGCTGTGAGTTCCACATTCTCACCACCCTCTGTGTAAGGAACTTCCTCCTAAGTTCTCTTTTTAGATCTTTTAGATCTGCCTTTTAGGCATAAAAACATTTATTTTTCCCCTCACAATCTGGATCCCAAGCCTGACTTTGTCAGACTATTTTGGAGTCAAGCAGCTGGAAGAGTCAATCACATTACTGCCTTGCAACATGCTTATTAAGGAAACCATGAGAACTATAGCTGTTGAAGTAGCGTTATTGGAAAATGTCAAAAGAAAGTATTCCAGTCATTCCTTCAGTTAGAACGTTTTAGGCGACATTTGTAGTCATGACTTCTTAGCTCTCAGTGAACTACATTTACCGAGTCAAGGGTAACTAGCAAAAATGCTAGGTTATATACTTCAAACAAAGCAGTTCAAATACTTAAGCCTTGTGAATGCAAGGCTTGAATTTTATAAAGTAACTTATATATAAGCTTCCTTTCAAACATTTTGATTTATTTTCTTATGCTGACACAAATAAAATACATTATAAAACATGTTTAAATGACATAGTCCCCTTAAAGAAGTATCAGGAACTATTTAATCAGTCCTCGAGCACCTTACGAAAAAACTGAAACTCTCATCTGTTATCCATTTTCTCAGACCCTGTAAACATTGCTTTTGCTGTCACAAACCCCAGGAACTTCACAGCAAGGCTAATGGATATTAGTAAAGATGTCATCCATAGTTTACTTCGTGTGGTTTTATTAGCGTGTAATTAAACCAGCAAAATAGTTTACCTTGTCTGATGGACACGAGACGTCCATTAGAAGCTTGTAAAACCACTTGAGGGTGACTCTGCTCCAAATCAAAGAGGTCATCTTTGCCAGGTTTGGAGTTTCGTCCAGATCTTAGGGTTCCCGTGGGACCTATTGCACTCAGATACTTCCCCTCATGATCCTTGAAGGCAATCTTCCCAGCTTTAAACTCCAAGGTGTAACTTGTACTCTCACCAGGCTCCTTGATCAGCTTTCCATCATTCCTGAGAAATCTCTTATCACAAGTCTGGATGCTATACCTTTTCTCCTGATAGATCAGCGTGATGAGAGCATCCACCCCCCAAGGAATGTTACTGTCAACAGAGAGCTCGTCTTCTTGGACCGAGAGGTGGGTGTACCTTTTCCGACTGATGCTCAGGAGGTTGGCTTGAGGGTGGATGGCCAGGTGGACAGCCCAAAGTTCCGACTCGGTAATGGTCTGGGCAAAACACGAGAGATGATCTTCTGATCCCCCAAAGTAACGCTTGTGGGGTTCAGACTGTAGAGTCCATCTGCCATCACCGTGGGCAATGACCAAGAACCTGCAATCAATGTCAGGTTTCTCAGACTCACATGACACATTGCCATCCTTATTAGCCAACAGATAGCGACCCAAGTGGCTCTTGAAGAACACCACAGAGTTGTCTCCTTCATCTTGCTCCAGCATCCAGATCTGCTTCTTCTTTAGGCTGCCTCCAGATGCGTTGACTTTGAAACCAAAAGCTTCTGCTGTCAAGTACTTGTTATTACTGTTAATCAAGCCAAATTGGATCTTTAAAGCTTGGTGGGTCCCGTTGGAGGGCATTTCTCTTCTCTTGGGATGCTTTCCTTTCTTCTTAGTGCAGAACCTTTTGACTTGCTTTGGGCTTCAGTAGGAGCTGAGCAGCAGAAACAAATACCGGGCAGATTTTTTTACTTGCTCCCCAGAGATTTGAAGCAAATAGCCCCAAGCACCTGAATCCTCTGGTGACGTCAGCTCTGGTTTGACAGGACCTTGACCTTTTGGCTTTTCTGTAATGCTTTACGAAGCCTCTAATTGCAATTATCCAAAGAGCGGTTCAGAAAACAATTTGCATGTTTCGAAGAGTTCTCACCCGCAGATTGGCTTTTCTACACGTTGCCGTTTTTGTGAAAGACCAAGTGGTTGTCTCAGCTGCTGCAGTCAGCTCTTAATTGTTCATGCCCAGGATTAGAAACTCACAGATTTTAATAAGCTGCCAATGCTTTGTAATTAATAGCAGAGCTTGCTGGAGCAACAAAAGATTTTTTATGTCAAACACTGGTCCCTTTGTATGTTTCCCTTCCTTTCTTGCGTTCCACTGGATACGTTTCTTCAGACTTACTTTGTTAGCAGCAGACTTGGGTTTGCTTTTTTTTACACTAATTTCACCTTTGTATGCTAGTGCACCCAGTCAGATACATCCTTCTGCTTTGGATGCTGACTTGCTGACTGCCTCTCCCTCTGAATAGCTGTGCAATGTTTCAGGTGAAAAACCTATGAAACGTGATAGCCTTTGCTGCCGTACTATGGGAGTCTTCTTTCTTTTTATTCAGGTGTAGAGTTACAATGTTCTCTGATTCCTTCTCTCTAGGTCACCTACAGCCTTCTCCAGTTCTACCACTTAATCCGCTTTATAATTATCCAACAACCGCCGTTTCTTTACATTAATCCTTTTATCCCGTCTTATGTCCAAAACACCCTTCCTCCAGCTGTCTCTGGCACTTGCCACCTTCAGTTATGCATTTCCTGGTAAAACGGCCCATTAGGGAAAAGCATATTATTTAATTAGGTACATTACACACCTGTCTTTCAAGAGAGGAAACATTCTTTGAATATGTATGTCTCTGTATCAAAATATGACACAATTTCGGCTTACGTATTGCAAGACCTAAATGACTTTTGAAAGCTTTTCTGAGTGTCTTTAAATAACAATTTGGGTTATTTCTTAATGGGATTCCTTAAGACGGAATTTGGTTCCGCAAATGCGGATCGTTACCGGTACGTGGATGAGTTTCACAGCAATCCGTCGGAACTCAATCTACTTCCGGACCAGAGTTCCCAAGGGCCGAAGGGAATTATAGGCAGTTTCTGTATTAAGAAATCCCTTTAAGTGAACGACAACCCCAATGTGCAGCAAACACATTGAAGCAATAACACATCTACACCGTCATTGGCTTTTGTGGATTTAGTCTAGGTACTAATGCTGGCATCTCCAAGTCATTAATGAGCATTTAAGGGAATTTAAATACATTACAAAATTACATTTACACAGTGCCTTTCACGTCGGGAAGACGTCCGGGATTTGGACCCGAGCTGGGGGGGCTTCTGATCAGAGAATGCAGGGAAGGTAGGAGGGTGGCTAAAGGCGTGGTTGAAGGACTTGAGACGTGCTTTGAAGGAGGCAAGGGAGAGAGGCAAAGGGACGGTGGGATGAAGGTCCAAAGGGTGGGGGCACAGAGGCTGAAGGCCTGACTGCTGATGATAATTGTATTGTAATTTAAATACCAAACCAAAATCTTGATAATATAATAATATAATAATAATATAATAATATAATCTTGATATTATATGAGGACTACAAGTCAAAAGGAGATCCAACACAATTCTCTTTATTTATATCATAAAGTTCAACACTGAACCTTTGACAGAAAAATAATTTCTTCTGATCTTTACGTTGATTTTTTTTGTGGAAAAGCCGCCTTGGATTTTTCTGATCGTTTTTTTAATGCTAATTCATTAAAGTGTCTAATATTGGGTTGAAAAAAAAATCGTTTTGAAAAAAAAGTCCTTTAAAGCTGGGAATGCCATAAATTGGAAGTTGAATCCATTTTTATGGGTTAATTTTTTATTCAGCTATTTTGAAAGTTTTCTATTTTCTGCATTTTCTGCGACTTCCTCCAGCTCACATTATCCAGCGAGGCTCTGGCTTTTGCATGTCTCCCGGCTCCTCTGCCCCATCATTGGTACTTCTGCATCCACCCCAAGCTTATAGCCATTACATCTCGCTCTGGAACTCTGTCACAAACCCTTCCTCCGAGCACACCCTCTCTCTGGTTTTAATTCTATTCTAAAAACATTCTTCCTCTACCACACCTTTGGCCAATTTTATGCTAATCTCTCGCCTATTTCCTCCCTTGCTTGGGCTATCTCTGTAAAGTGCTTTGAGATGATATCTTACATAAAGGGCTCTATGTAAATGCAAGCTGTCGTTTTCATGTTTTTTTCATCGACGCAATAAGGTTTCTATTAACAGTGCTGAGATGGGCGGTGAGATAAGAATGATCCAGCTGCTGCCTTTCTGTCCTGCAAAGGGAGTTAAGAGTTGGAAAAAACAATTGGAGAAGAATCAAGTCATGGCTTCCTCGTTTTTTGTGCAAAAGGAACACACTCTCCAAAAGACCTAAAGATATTGATTGTAAAATTAAGATTACGTAGACAATATTTAAGTGATCTGATCAAAAGGATTTTTAAAAAACGGTATATTTGCCATTGTTACTGTGTAATAGCAGGGTGAAACTGTCAACACTAAAATGAAAAGGATACAGACTAGTTCAGTTGAGGGATTGTATTTATCTTTAAACATTTTACTTTCCTATAAGGGATTTGTTTCCATCTGTTAAGATCTTTTGCAATTTTATTCAGTAAATGCCTAAGGTTGATGTGCACAATGCGATTCAGCCATGGGACAAGTACACCTGCCAAAAGCCAACACTGAAAGGAAAAAAAAATTCCCCAGGACTGGATTGTTGCACAGTTCAGATAGAGGCATCAGGGTTTAATCCGACTGACATTTTTTTTCCATCACAGGTCTCTCGGAAATAGCGACATATCTGCATATGTGGTTAGGTCTCTACAGTAAGAACTTGGCTGTATGGCCTGGGAGAAGTGTTCAGCAAAGGTTGTGAGCTTCTTCCATGTCCCACCAGTTGTTATAGTAAAAAACTGACATTGGGCTATCTGACATTCCCCTCCCAGCCTAACCAATGCCTCAAAGGACCACTTCTCCCCCTGTAAATGGAACATGAGAAATTGCCAAATATTTGACCAAAATACCTTCGGCTTGTAAATATCTGAATTCATAGCACGATTAAATAAAAATCGTAACCTTATTATGCTCTATTTACGTCATACCCCTCACTCGTGTGTTTGTTTTGCTGATGTTTGGTGTCGTTTTACAGGAACTTCTATGGTCTATTGAGCATTATATCTCCTTGAGCATCTGTGAATTTTCCTATGTGTTTAATCCATTTGAAGCAGTAATGGGCAGGCTCTGATTTCCAAGTCGCATTCCTATTTTCCTAACAGCATAGATTAAGTTTCAGCTGTGCTGGAATGAATGGCACACTGCTCAGCCTTGGTCTGCAGCCCAGACTGAGCAGATTGGTTTCTAATGATTATTTCATGTGTGATCTCATGTCATCAGTTTTGCTTAGACACTGCAATCCCTTTTGCTTGGTTTTCCTCCACAACCAAATGTTCATTACCTAGTACCTTTTTAACTTAGGGTGATAATATTAATGATGATAATAATAATAAATAGTAATAATCCTTCCATTTGATGTAGGGCCTCATCGGGTCGGAAGGTCGTTTCAAAGCGCTTCACAGGATTTACTGTGAAATGAAGTGGTATATTTGTAGGCAAACGTGCACAGTCCCATAAACAGCTGTAAAACAAATGACCAATTTTATTTGGGCCAGGACATCGAGGGAAACTCCTTTTTCTTTTTGAATAATAATACAATATAATAGAATTTTGAATATTTTCAAGGGATCTTTACTGGCCACCCGAACAGGAAGATGGGACTTCGGTTTAACATAAATAATGATGATCCTTGCATTTGATAAAGTACCTTATCACATCTTCGAGATGTTTCAAAGCTCTTCACAGAATATACTGTAAAGTCAGTTGATCGTATATTTTTGTGGTGAAAGGTGGCAGCCAATTGCACACAGCAGTGTCCCACAAACAGTCTTGAATTGAGTGACCAAATTATTATTAATTTATTTTTTGAATGGATTATTATCCCAGAAAAGCTATCCGCCAATCAACTAACAATTGGGTTCTTGTCTGCCTGTTCAGATGAATGTTATAGATCCCGTGGCACTATTTGAAAAGAGCAGTGAGTTTCTCCTGACCAGCAAAGTAAAAATTGGTCATTCATTTAATAGCTTTTCTTGGGACATTGCTGTGAGCAAATTGGCTGCCATGTTCCCCTATAAAATACAAATAATATATCCGGTGAACAGCTTTGAGACATGCTCCTGATATGAAAGGTTGTATATCAAATGCAAGGATTATTATTATTTTTAATATTGAGACTTATTACATCTTTTTGACCAAAGTTGGTAATTTGCACTGTTCTGTATGAATTGCCCATTATCAGATATCGCTGTATGTTTGCAAAGGATATCCACTAGTAACTAGGGTTTGACCACCCCTGCACTAGTTAATAGGTTGAAACTGATTTCAGTAGAATGTGCAGCAATAGGTTGTATAATGCCAGAAATATTCAGTTTGTGAACCAATCATCACAAGTAGGCCAAGTCAATTGTTTAATGTTAATATTGAAATCTGATATTTTGTAAAAAAAATAGTATGAGCGTGATTTATATAAATCCTTGGTGTTTACAGGCCTTACTTCAAATTTGTTCTGCCAATTTTTTCTCTTCCAATTTTCTCCCTTCTTTTCCTCCTCCTCCTGTTCCTCTCCAGAAGGGGTTTGACTCCTTTCTCCTTCTTGTTGGGTATGATTGGAAAGCTACTGGTCATCACCCACTGGTACCTTGCTCAAGTGGCCACTGTT